TAAGCTTAATATCATATACACACACATTTTATTGGTTTATATATATATATATATATATATAAAGTGTTCCTAAGGTGACACCTTAGATAATCATCTAAGGACGCGGTCTAAAATCACATGATTGCTCTACATTATGGATGATCCGCTCCGTTGAACTTGATCTACATATTCTAAAACCCCAACACACCAAGTTTGGAGTGAACCCGTCGTCGTTTGACCATTTATCCACTCGTATCAATTTTAACGGTTTTGAATGAATAGAACTTTTCACATGGCTCTACGTGTGAGATTAATGGGTATCCTTGTCATAGGAGGGGATTTCCTCATTGACGCCTCTAAAATCACATGATTGAGCGACATTGTGGATGATCCGCTCCGTTGAACTTGATCTACATATTCTAAAACCCCAACACACCAAGTTTGGAGTGAACCCGTCGTCGTTTGACCATTTATCCACTCGTATCAATTTTAACGGTTTTGAATGAATATAACTTTTCACATGGCTCTACGGAGGGTCAAATGACGATGTGTTCACCCCAAACTTGGTGTGTTAGGGAAAAGTGATTCTAAGGTGACACCTTAGATTCTCACCTAAGGACGCGGCCTAAAATCACATTATGCCCTAATTGTTTTTTTTTATCCGCTCCGTTAAACTTGATCTACATGTTCTTAAACCTAAACACACCAATTTTGGGGTGAGCCCGTCGTGTTTTGACCCTTCATCCACTCGCCGCAATTTTAACGGTTTCGAATGAATAGAACTTTTTGCACGGCTCAACGAATGGTCAAAACACGACGGGTTCACCCCAAAATTATATATATATATATATATATATATATTATATATATATATATATATATATATATATATATATAATATATATATATATATATATATATAAGTGTTCCTACAAGTGAACCTTAAGATAATCATCTTAAGGCACGCGGTCATATATATATATATATATATATATATATATATATATATATATATATATATATGAGAGAAAAATGGGTATGCTTGGTACTAAGCACAAAAAATTGTGCTTGGTAGTGAGGTGTCATAATCCCCTCCACTCATTCAAATGGTTGTATATCCTCATGCACCCTTCAACCCATGTGAATATGGTCCCCCATTTGAATGAGTGGAGGAGATTTTGCCACCTCACTACCAAACAAAAAATTTATGCTTGGTACCAAACATACCCATATTTCTCTCTCTCTCTCTCCTATACTATGATGTATATACTATACTACGTATATACTCTATATAATAGTACTATATCAATAGTAATATAGACTTGTTAGCGGGGCGCTGAGGGCGCCGTAATATGTGTAGGAGAATGGAGCGTGCTATAAAGTGTGAGCTAGGTATATATATAATATGTTTATGTCCTGGCGCAAGACAAACATTTTCTTCCATATTTATTTTGTCCAATTCCTCCCCGGTCGATCATGGGGAGCCATGGTGCTAAAGGTGGTGCCACGGGGTGAGGTTGGGCGGAGAGACCCTTTAAGGCTAACTGAACAGCTGCGAATTTTAAATTTTAACAGACAGCACCGAAAGACTGTCGAGAGGGGTGAAAGGGCCGGTTTGTGCGCTGTGTGATCCGTTAAGAAAGATCCGTCCATACCAATATGTTTCACGCCCTACACCTACTCTACCCCCGTGACCGGCTGCGGAAGGTGCGTAAGTTGCCGCGCTCCTAAGCGAGGCGGTACCGAAGGCGTAACCGGAATAAACGATAGGCCGGCGGAGAGCGGAGGAACGCCCTTGTGAGCCGGGACGGAAATAAATCCGGCGAAACGTAACCATGGGGGAATGGCGCGCAGGTATCACCTAGGCGAAGCGCCGGTGGGCGAAGCACGTAGAGGCAAAGAAGGCGAAATCTGATGAGAGGGATCGTCGAGCTTAGCCCCTCAGTATATCATCGCCAGAGTAAGGGAGCAGTATAGTATATATATATATAATATATATATGTTATATTGATATATAGTTATCATATATATATATATATACTATAATTAAATCAAATTGATCAAATATTAATTGTTATGTATAATTAACATTCATATACATAAGAAGGTGAAAATAAGAATATAAAGTAAAAGATTTACAAATTTTTTAATGAATACCTAAATCATTTCAATATATGCACTTGTCATTGAATCAACATACTTCTAAAAAGTCTCTATTTTAAAGTATATCGATTGTAGTTGGTTTTTTTATTACCACAAATTAACTATACATTGTAATCTTTCTGAAGACTTGATCAAATAATTGCAGAAGCACATGAACATAGAAAATATATTTCACATATTTATTTCTTAATATAGTGAAGGAGGAAGCTTCTATTACTGTAATCTATATATGTCAGTAGAGGGTGTAAACCAGATTCAAGAATAGTGTGGGAGAGGCAAAGGTTTCGTGTTATTTATCTGTGCAAGAGATTATAATATTAGAAGAGGATTTCGTCGTCTTTGTTCGTCCAAAAGATTATAAGGAGAGAGGTTTGAAGAGAATATGAGTGTTAACCATGTATATGAGGTTGAGAGATTGAGGAACGATAGTTTAATAGATTCCTCTTGTAGTTCTCCCTGACACATAGTGGATTCCTTGTATTGTTGACTGTGGATATAAGTCAAAGTTGATCGACTGAACCACGTAAATCTCAGTATTCTTTTTCGCGATTATGAGTATTTTAATTTATCTTACTGATTATGGGTTGACTTCTGAGTTCTGAAAATCGTAGTAGGTGGGGAGACTAAAATCCCCAACACGTAGCTCATTTAGCATAATGAGCCGTCACCTCGAACCCATTATTTTTTATATATGTGTGCGCACGCGCGTGTTACTTGATATTATATCTTTAGATACCCAATTTCCCCATATTTCACCCCTTAATTTGTCCCTCTTGTGTGTTCTCTTTTGCGCTAACAATAATCAGTGTCTAGACCATTGATTCATGAAGTCAACTTGTTGGATAGTCGAGGCATTTAACAGTGGCTGGGCTTTTCAATCTTATGCTGCAAAAATGTCGGCATAGTTGCTTCTTCTATTGAGCCTTTCATGGGCCCAACCTTTCCCAAGGCCAAGCAAAACTCCCTTCCGCCTGGCCATGCATATTGTGGAACCTTATCATGACTTCACTTGAGGAGACTTCAAATTTCCAGTCTGTGAAATCAAGTCACCTCCATTTCCTCTCAAATTATTGCAGGCTTACTGTAAATTAAATTTCATCATCTATCTCTTAACTTGTAGTTCTAAAGTTTCAGACCTCAAATAGCTTGAACTTTCATCTGCTACACGATTTCAAATAGCGTGAAATCAAGTCACCTCTCAAATTATTGCAGGCTTACTGTAAATTTAATCATCTATCTTTTAACTTGTAGTTCTAAAGTTTCAGACCTCAAATAGCTTGAACTTTCATCTGCTAGCTACACGATTTCACCCAAGTAGACCGTAAAAGTTTCCTAGATTAATTTTGAATCATCCATCGCAAATTATCAATCACTTCTTGACGGGTAGAACTGCTTCAATGTCAAGGCCATCACTATGTAGGTAAATATTACCATTGAGTTGAGTCGAGGTCAGTCAACACAAATAATTTTCCCTGCATGGAATAGTCTCCTACAAGGACATGACACAGCAGACTGCAGAAAAGTCAGGGCTTAGCCCAACCTTTCAGTGTATACGTATAAATAGGAGGCAACCTGAATGAGAGCTCAAAAAGATAAAAAAAAAAACTAGAGAAATGGAAAGGATCCTCGTTTTGCTGCAACTGTTGCTAGTAGGAGCGACCGCAAATGCAGCTGCATCCACCAATATTTCACTGCCAGGGTGTAAAGACTCATGTGGCGACATCAGTATCCCCTACCCTTTTGGTATTGGCGCTGGATGCTTCCGAGACGAAGGCTTTGAGATCCAATGCAAAGAGGTTGGTGGGAAGACGAAGGCTTTCTATGGTGGCGTCAATAGCTCCCTTGGTGCCATTGACATCTCATTGTTAGAAGGCCGAGCACGAATGCTCAAGTATCTGTCCTATGCTTGCTACAACAAGTCTGGCGGCCTCGTGGAAAATCAGACATCGTACTTGAATTTGAGTGGCGTCCCGTTCACGATCTCTGCCGCCCAGAACAAATTCACTGCCTTGGGGTGTGATACCCTCGCGTACATAGAGGGAGACAAACACTATGAAAGTGGTTGTGTATCCATCTGTACTAATTTGACTACTTTGACTAATGGCTCATGCACGGGCACCGGCTGTTGCCAGACTTCCATTCCAGATAACCTTGTCTACTTCTCGCGTACATAGAGGGAGACAAACACTATGAAAGTGGTTGTGTATCCATCTGTACTAATTTGACTACTTTGACTAATGGCTCATGCACGGGCACCGGCTGTTGCCAGACTTCCATTCCAGATAACCTTGTCTACTTCGACTCCGAATTGTATACTAATTACCGCCGTAGATATGCCCCTGAAAATTATCCCTGCAGCTACGCCTTCGTAGCAGATAAGGATTCGTTCACTTTCAATTCTTTGGATTTGGTGGGTCGGAGTTTCCTCAATAAATACGAGGACGGGGTCCCTCTGGTGATGGACTGGGTCGTTGGAAGTGAGAGGTGTGATACAGCACCGCACAACGCCTCCTATGCGTGCAGAAACATTAACAGCGTGTGTGTAAACTCTTCCTCTGGTCAAGGCTACCTTTGTAACTGCTCTGAAGGTTATGAAGGAAATCCCTACCTTCAAGATGGATGCCGAGGTACTACTTAATTTCTTCATGTTCTCGAACTTCCCCCTTTGCTTATCTTTTTATTATTAATTTTTTGGTAAATGTGCGAATTGGTATTTTGTATAGATATCAACGAGTGTGATCATCCTGATCCAGATAAGTATCCATGCAAAGGTCATTGCTCAAACACAGAAGGGAGCTATAATTGTTCATGCCCACCCGGTTACCACAGCAATGACCCGAAAAAGGTGGAGTGCAATCCAGATCCTCGTCCGGCTAAACTTCAGCTTTGGGTGAAGTTGGCTCTAGGTATGTGAACCTCCACTCCTGAACATAAATCTAAATGGCAAAGCTCCTGTTTTTCGGCTCGTCAGTAACTTAATTATAATTTAGGGGTAGATTTCACTAAACCCCGAACATAAGTTTGGGCCTTTGGTTCTTAATTCCCATGAAGTTTGAAACTCTCACGCTAAACACCCTAATAAGTTTAGCAAGTCCAGAAACCCCCCAAAACATTCTGATTCTTTTCACTTAACGCCTATAATGGCATAAGCGGTAGGCCCATACTTTATGGTCCCAACCAAAGAATATATATATCACATGAACATCGTTAAGTAGTCATTGGGGGTTCAGTGGCAAAAAAGTTATTTTGGGTGTGTTTTGGAATTCCCAAACGTCTTGGGGTTTAGTGAAAATTACCCTCAATAAGCTGCTTTAAAAAAATTGCCTTTGAAGGGTAATACCCCTGCACGCACGAATATGTACCATATCTACTAGTTGCTGTACCATCACTAGAGTTGGGTGGGACTGAACAAGATGGTTCCTCCTATCTTTTTATCTACACTCATTTGCATGTGTCTGCAGGGATTGGCATTGGTATCGTTTTACTACTTGTTTTCCTCTTTGGCACATTTGTGGAGAGGGAAAAAAGAAAGCTCGCTAGAGAGAAAGAAAGGTTCTTTCAAAAAAATGGAGGCCTGCTATTGTATGAAGAAATCAAGTCGAAGGATTCTAGACGTTGGGCTTCATTCAAGATATTTGAAAAAGAAGAGATGGAGAAAGCAACAAACAATTTCGACAACAATCTAATCCTTGGGCGCGGAGGGCATGGGACAGTTTATAAGGGAACTTTGGAAGGAAACATAACTGTTGCCATAAAAAAGTCTAGGATGATTGATGAGAGCCAGAAGGAAGAATTTGTGAAGGAGATTCTAATCCTCTCTCAGATCAATCATAAGAATGTGGTCAAGCTCTTGGGGTGCTGCTTAGAGGTTGAAGTCCCGATGCTGGTATATGAATTTGTTTCAAACGGGACTCTTCATGACTGTATCCATGGCAAGAATCAACAGCAGTTTATCCCCTTAGACATCCGTTTTCGTATTGCAATAGAATCTGCCGAAGCGCTTGCCTATTTGCACTCATCAGCTTCACCTCCCATCCTTCATGGTGATGTCAAGTCCTCTAACGTACTTTTAGATGAAAACTACGTGCCAAAAGTGTCTGATTTCGGTGCTTCAACTCTAGTAGCCTTGGACGAAACTCAATTTGCTACAATAATACAGGGAACTTGTGGTTATTTGGACCCAGAGTACTTGCAAACACACATTATCACAGAGAAAAGTGATGTGTACAGCTTCGGTGTAGTTCTTCTCGAATTGCTTACGAGGAAGAAGGTATTTTGGTTTGATGACTCCAAAACAGAGAAGAGTCTTGCATCTACCTTTCTCTCTTTGTTGAAAGAAGGCCGTCAAATGGAGGTTTTTGATACTCAGCTTAGCAGTGGAGCGCGGGTGGGTGAAGGGCAAATGGAGGTATTACTTGAAGTTTCGTATATTGCGAAGCAATGCCTTAGCATGACGGGAGAAGAAAGGCCCACCATGAAAGAAGTGGCGGAGGAGCTTCAGAAGTTGAAAAAGTTCAATCAGCATCCTTGGGAGCAGCATAATAAGCCTGAAGAACTGGAGATCTTGCTTGGTGATTCATCAGCCTGCTCTGCTGGTGATGCTACTGGACACTATAGTTTGGAGAATAGGGCAGTGCTGAGCATCGAAGGTGGGCGCTAAAGCTGTGTGTTTCTCCGTAAGTAATTTAAGATTTGATGTAACTGTAAACTTGCTATTTTCTTCTTAGTGATTGTAATAGACTACTAAAGTTGCCTGTTGTTTCCTGGGTCTAGTGATTGTTGTAGACTATTAATATTAGTGAGTGTATGCTTTTGAATTGTGCTGGGTCTGTTCTACTAGTACTACTAGTATTCCTGATAATGAACTTATCGGCCTCAGTTCGGTGATCAATAAGTTGGTTAACTTGATGTCTTTCTATTTTCTGATAATAGAAGGCTCTTTGTTCTCTTTCATTGTTCTTTGTCAATGCTAATACTTGCTGATTATATAGGATCTAGTGGTTGTAGTAGATTAGCAGTGCAAATATTTAGCTGAATTACGCAGAGTATGATTTTTGTTCTCAGAAATGGGGAAGCTAAGTTGAACTTGTCTTTAGACTATGTTTGAAGTTAATCAGAATACACATGAAGTGCATTCCTATCCATCCATGATTAGTATAGAGATTTTTTTAGTCTTCTAAATCAAACATCTTTTGATTGAGATGGGCATAATTGAACAAGATAAGTAATGCTGAGGTTCGATTTGATTGTATTTTCTCATAATTGTTTTATCAGATGATGTCTTTCTTTTTCTTTTTTCAAGACATTTTGTTCAAGATTTAATGTAGAAAACTTTGCTAGATGGAATCCCTACCATTATTGCTCTAATTTCTTAATGGAATTCATACTTAAAAACCAGTAGGATTTCCTTGCAAAACCATAGGCATGTAAATGTAATAACAAAAAAAGAATAAAAATCACCGTTGTGAAAATTTCATGCAATTTCCTTTTGGTTCTTTGATCCATTGTCCGTTAATTTTTTATGGCCATGTCTGTTTTATATGTAGACCCCTATTTCAATGACTACAATCAACGTACACTCTACATATGCAAATGTCTCGATTATAAATCGAGACTTTTCTGTTAGAACTGGGATGCAATCCTAGAGGGGGTTGAATAGGATTGCAACAATTTTTTGACTAACTCAGAATAAGCAGCAGAAATATAATAAGCGAAGAACTTAAAATCAAAACAACACAGGAACACACGAGATTTTTTATAGTGGTCCAGATCAAAATCCTACGTCCACTCTTCCTTCTCGCGAAGAACCTTCCTTACTATGCCCAGAGTTCACTTGAATCACAACACTATTCAGTAGGCTTCAAAGACCGCACCCACGAATCTACTCGAAACCAATCATCTATCCTAACTCTTCACAATGGCCAGAAGAAACCTAGCCCTAGCTAGCCAAACCCTCAATTATCTGGGCATGAGTATGCCAACCCTTAATTACCCGGCTTGAGTATGCCGTCGAACTTACAAGTTTGAATACAATTAACCAAAATAATTAAAGCACAAAAGAATATCTAACAGCCCTTTACTAAACCACTCTTTAAATCAATGTTGATGAAAATAAGTGAAGAAGTGGTGTAGCGATGTAAGCATAGGGCACTCCTTCTCGCTGAATTAAACTCCGATGAAAAGCGCACTGAGAAGAAGTTGTACGAGGCTTAGGGGATTTGATCAACTCTCTCTCTCTCTCTCTCTCTCTCTCTCTCTCTCTCTCTCAAA